CGCTGCCGCCCAACCGGACTACCTCCGCGTGGCGACCGCGCCACGCAGCCACGTCGCGCCGCCGCGCTTCTTCGAGGAGGACCCCGTGATCTGGCTCGTCCAGCTCGACCTCTTCTTCTCTCAGGCAGCTGTGGACGATGAGCTCAGCCGCTTCCGGATCGCCGCTACTCTCCTTCCTGGCCACCTCCTGCGCGACTTCACTGACATCCTCCGCAACCCTCCTCCAGACCGACCTTACACCATCCTTTCCGACGCCATCCGTCAGCGGTTCGGCAAATCAGTCGAACAGCGTCTTCGCTGCCTGCTCTCTGGCCAACAACTCGGCGACAGACGTCCTTCCCAATTCCTTCGGCATCTCCTGGACCTTGCTGAAGCTGAAGGCTCACAAGATTCCCCGCTCATCCGCCAGATCTTCCTCAATGCTCTTCCGCCTCGGACTCAGCCCTTCCTCCAGTGCCTGCCGCCTGGGACGGACCTTGCGACCATCGCTAGCACTGCCGACCGACTCCTGGAGCTTCCGCAGCAGTCGGACGTCGCTGCACCTACCTCAGGTCTTCTCGCCGCGGTATCGACTTCTGCGCCTGCTGCAGCCTCACCTGCTGCTCCTGCAGGACCCTTCCACCTCCAAGACCTGATGAGTCAGCTGCTGACTGGTATCACGGCCCTCACAACATCAGTCGCCACACTGGTGGACGAGACGCGCCGCCGAGAGAGGTCTGCATCCCGTGCCCCCGGCCGCGCTCGCCACCGTCCACCACGCGACCTGTCTGCTGCTGCCCGGTCACCCAGCCCTGCAACCAGCACATCTACCGGCGCTGGTGCTTCCTTCTGCTGGTACCACCACAAGTTCGGTACCAACGCGCGCTCATGTCAGTCACCGTGCTCGTGGTCTGCAACTGCAACTCAGACCTCGGGAAACCAGCAGTAGGACAGGTGACACAGACGTCTGCACCTGCCCTGCTCAACCCTGACGTCCCTCCAGCCAGCGGCCTTCTGAGACTCAAGGACAACAACACTGGTATCACCTTCCTCATCGACACTGGAGCCGAGTACAGTGTTCTTCCAGCGACACCCACCGATCGTGCTCGCGGAACCAACGGACTGGATCTGCAAGCAGCCAACAACAGCAGCATCCAGACCTATGGTCAGCGCATGCTCACGCTTTCTCTTGGCCTCAGAAGAGATTTCAACTGGATCTTCATCATCGCGGACGTCTCCCATCCTCTCCTAGGAGCCGACTTCCTCTCCTCGTATGATCTCCTCGTCGACACCAAGAGAGGCCGTCTCATCGACCACCTAACTGAGTTGTCCTCACCTGCTTCCCACTCCTCAGTGCCATCCACCGGACTGACAGCCGTCGTCGGAACCGACAACCCAGCATTCCTTAACCTCCTTCGAGAATTCCCCAGCCTCACCCAGCCGTCACATCATCCGGAGCCACAGCACTCAGTCCGACATCACATCGAGACTACCGGCCCTCCGGTCTTCTGCCGCCCACGCCGTCTGGATCCAGCTCGACTCGCCACTGCCAAGGCAGAGTTCCAGCGCCTTCTCAGTCTCGGAGTCATCCGACCCAGCAGCAGTCGGTATGCATCACCGCTGCACATGGTGCCCAAGTCGTCTGGAGATTGGAGACCCTGTGGTGATTACCGTGCACTGAACCGCATCACAGTGCCTGACCGGTACCCACTACCACATCTCCACGACTTCACTGCCTGCCTCGCTGGGACATCGATCTACTCTCGGCTCGACCTCGTCAGGGCCTTCAACCAGATACCGATGGCCCCAGAAGACATCGCCAAGACAGCGATCACAACGCCCTTCGGCGCCTTCGAGTTCCTCCGTATGCCGTACGGTCTCCGGAACTGCGCTCAGACCTTCCAAAGGTTCATGGATCACATCCTCCGTGGCCTGGACTTCGCCTTCGTCTATGTAGACGACATCCTCATCGCCAGCAGCAGCATCTCGGAACACCTGTCACACCTCCGAGAGGTCTTCAGCCGTCTTTCCCGCAACGGTGTGCTCCTCAACCCATCGAAGTGCGCCTTCGGCATGGAGAGCATCTCCTACCTCGGCCACCAGATCTCCAGCGGAGGCATCACTCCTCTCGACGATCGAGTCAGTGCGATCAAGAACTTCGACCGTCCAGAGTCAAAGAAGAGCCTCAAGAAGTTCCTGGGGATGATCAACTTCTATCACCGCTTCATCCCACACGCTGCTGCTCTTCTGGCACCTCTCCACGGCCTGACTGCCTCAGACGACCGAGCTTCTTCAGTCACGTGGACCCCAGAGGCAGACGCCGCCTTCTCTGCAGCCAAAGCCGCCCTCGCTGACGTCACCCAGCTCGCTCATCCCGTCAAAGATGCAGCTCTGAGCCTCAGCACTGACGCCAGCAGCACGGCAGCCGGCGCCGTGCTCCACCAGCGAGTTGGTGGTTCTCTCCAGCCTCTCGCCTTCTTCTCGCGCAAGTTCACGCCCACCCAACGCCGCTACAGCACCTTTGGACGGGAATTGCTCGCGATGTACCTCGCCGTGCGACATTTCCTGCCCTATCTGGAAGGACGCGACTTCGAGATCCTCACGGACCACAAGCCGCTCGTCTTTGCTCTCAAGGCCAACGGCAACGCCAACCATTCTCTCCGTGAACAACGTCACATGGACCTGATTCTGCAGCACACCAGCAAGATCGGACATGTTCCTGGACACCTCAACCCGGTAGCTGACGCCATCTCACGGATCAGCTCAGTGTCTGCGCCAGCTTCTGCCGCAGCTACACCTTCACCCGGCCTTCTGAGCCTGGCCGACATCGCCCTACACCAAGCCAACGATCCTGACCTGCCGAAGCTGCAACAATCCTCATCTCTGGTCATCCGTGACTTCCCAGTCCCTGATCATCCGCATCTACGTCTCTGGTGCGACACCTCAACGGCCACACCTAGACCTGTAGTCCCAGCCAGACTCCGCCCTTCCATCATCAAGAGCTTCCACGACTTGTCTCATCCTGGCATCAACGCTACGCGTCATCTCATCTCATCGAGGTTCATCTGGCCCCACATCAACGCGGACATCCGTGCCTTCGTCCGGAGCTGCCAGCACTGTCAGCGTGCCAAGATCCAGCGCCACACGAAGCCACCCATGGGCAGCTTCCAGCCACCTGACTCTCGCTTCCTGCACATCCACATCGACCTTGTCGGACCACTTCCTCCGTCCCATGGCAACTCCTATCTCCTGACTGTCGTCGACCGCTTCACCCGATGGCCCGAGGCAATTCCTCTGCCCACCATGGACGCCGTCACGGTGGCTCGGCATCTCGTCAGCGGCTGGATCGCCCGCTTCGGAGTACCCGAACTCATCACCACCGACAGAGGATCCCAGTTCGAGTCCCGCCTCTGGACAGAGGTCTCCAAGCTTCTCGGCACCTCTCGGATCCGGACCTGCGCCTACCACCCAGAAGCAAACGGGATGGTAGAGCGCTTCCACCGCCAACTGAAGTCAGCTCTGCGGACCGATGACGACGCCGTCTCCTGGTCGGACCGACTTCCTCTGGTGCTACTCGGAGTGCGCACGGCCCTCAAGGAGGATCTCGGATGCACCGCTGCAGACCTAGTCTATGGTTGCAGTCTCCGACTTCCTGGTGACTTCCTCTCCCCCATGTCGTCGGACACTTCTTCTGATCCGGCTTCCCTAGCCTCTCGTCTCCGTGCCGCCATGTCGGAGCTCCGTCCAACTCCTCCTCGTCCTGGCTCCCGCCAAATCTTCATCTCTCAAGACATGCAAACCTGCTCCCACGTCTTCATCCGACGCGATTCGCATCGCTCTCCTTTCCAATACGTCTATGACGGTCCTTATCGTGTCCTATCCCGCGACCAGCACACCGTCACCATCGACCGTCTCGGGCGACGCGACACCGTCACCCTGGCTCGGTGTAAACCGGCCTTCACGGACAACATGCCTGCCGCAACGCCGCCTGCAGCACCGGACGTCCTGGTGAACGACACGCCTACTACAGCGACAGACAGCTCGGTGGACCGCCCGCCTGCTGCATCGCCTGCACCCAGCCGCTCAGGTGCCCCCGGCGGCTCTCGCCCGGCTCGCCGCGTGCCGCCGGGCCCGCCGCCTGCTTCGCCGCCCCCTCTCCGCCGTTCGTCGCGTACTCGCCGCCAAACTTCTTTTTATGGTGTTTAACTAGGGCGGGGGAGTGATGTAGCCATGTACCTACTTCTGCCGGTCACCGCTAGGCCCATGTACTTCTGCCGGTCGCCGCTAGATGCTGTGAACCGCGAGTTACAGTTTTGTTAATAGGTGTCGCTTTTACCAGTCTCTAAATTGCTAAAGCCTTCGATTAAGTTGTGCGTCCCCCTTTTAACGTTCCGTTCGCTTAAACTGCTGTATTGTTTGGACAACTGCATTGGCTATGTGTATATTAAAAACCATATGTATTCGTTTATTACATTCGATGTTCTCGCCAACATGTGTGCAATACTAGATAAGTAAGTTCGTATGTAAAACTATATATGTCTCGATTTTGTGGCGAAATACAAGAGATATCTGTATGTTACAGTGTTTCTACTGGCTACACCAGCCAGAACACATTACATGACACATTTAAATGACCAGCCACAATCTTGCATTATATCCCCCCTTAACTGAAACCCCATGATGATAGACGCGCAGCTTCAATCAAGTTCAACGGGCACACCGCTCAAAGTCAAAGCCGATAGGGCACACAGCCCTTGAGGTTGAGTCTGATCTGATGGCTAAGTGCCAAACCTGGTTTATCACTGACCAGAGATCCTCGAGGCTCGATGTGCAGGAGAAGATGCACTGCAGGCAGTCACACTGACCGCCTCCCCTGTCCACACAGGGGCTGCAGCACGCCGTCACAGGCTCAGGAAGCTGGGCCCGCCTCGTGCCGAAGACGAGGCTGTCACATGCAGAGGTGGCCTCCGAGGCAGAGGCCGAAACTGTAGTCGTCACTCGACCAGATCAGACGTCAAAGCGCCGCCGAATACTGAGCAGTGTATTCTACTCGTGTTAGTTTCTGTAAACGATACAATAAATTAACACACAATCACGGAAATCGTCCCGAATGGCCCTCAAAGGTTGGGCCTCACACTGCACGTGCACACAGCACCGGGTTACGTCCGTTAGCAGCAGTTCACATGGGTCAATACGCATCAATCGATAGGCTAGTCATCAATAATCAGGCGCGGTAAAGAAACAACATCCGGTGAAAATAAACGAGTACAATAGGTAATTCTTACCGGCCTTTGGCGCCTCCACGCCACTGACGGCGCTGACGCCGACTCCGGCGAAAACCGCGCTCCTGCGCCCTGGGCGGCGCACCGCGGCGTTCACGACGCCTCTGGGGTCGCGCTACGACGCTTCTCGTGTCGGCGTTACGACGCCCCTCGGGTCGGCGTTCACGACGCCCCTCGGGTCGGCGCTCACGACGCCTCCCGTACCGACGGCCTCGGGACACGACGCCTCACGAGGCGTTCACACGCCTCACTCCGGCGAACCCGGCGCACCTAACACAAACAGGGCAGCCTCTAGGTAACAAATACGACAATGATCATCGAACAACGACATTCCAAGCTATTTCATATTTCATTTACGTTAAATTGCAGTACAATTCATTCATCATTTGACTTACACTGCGTCCGCGGTTCACACCTGCCACACACGACCGCTCACGGCGGAGACCGGCATCGGAAAGAACGCGCCTAGAGCGCGGCCCACCGCGCAGTCCACATCACCGGCGAAAATATTCCACTTTCGCGTCGCACAGTAACTAATCGAAAATAACAATACGAATAAATGCATCACAAAATATTGTTACACTATATCCAGTGTGGCAACGCGAAGCATACATAAATTAAATCGCTAATTATATTTTGCAAAAAAAAAAAAAAAACTACTCGCAGCCCATCTCTATGATTAGAGTTGCCGCTTTTCAGCCGGAGGGGCACACACGGACTCCGGCTATCGAGCCCGGCAATGCGTAAGCGGGCGGTCTTTACAGGCCTTTTTATGACATCACATTTACCTACATCAGGCTTCATTGACCCATCATTGTAAAAGAGAGTGGTAAGGGAGTTTTGAGTTTTTTTATATAACTTAAGTTGTGTTAGAGATAAAAGCATTAACTTGCCATCATCACTGGTGGATCCAGGGAAGGGGGGGGGGGCATTAGGGGCATGTGCCCCCCCCCGGCAGGAGCCTGGGGGAGGGCATTCAGTACAAGTATGCCCCCCCGTTCAGACTTACACTTCTTACGCCTATAACGAGGAACTAAATAAAAATGGATTAGAAAGCCTTCCTAGTAACTACTTTTGTGATCAGAGTCGTTTTAGTAACCTCAATTTAGTTGTCATTGCTTTATTTTGTCTAAAAATATTTTGCCTCTTAGTTCTTACCACAGGGGAGTAATGCCGCTCCAACCCTTTTGACCGTATTGTCTAACGATGGCACTCATATTGCGCAAACCAGGAATCGGCCGCCGCCTATGCTTGGGAGCGCCTGTGAGGGTCTCACACCGGCGCCTTTGAGGGCCCAACACCGCCAATCTGAGGGACTAACACCAATGTTTCTTAAGACCCTACCTCGGCGGTGGTTCTGAGGGCCCCACACTGGTGACTCTGAGGGCTTCCAGTGACGCCTGAGAGTACCACGCCGGTCTCCAGGATCCCACAGCATAGGCGGCAGAACGGGGAGGGCACCGGGACACCGTGCCCCCCTTTGATTTTGGCATTTTAACATTAGCCCTATGGGCGTTGCATGGAAAGAATGGGACCAAAAGTCGGCAGTGCCCCCCTTAATTGAAGGTGTTCCGCCGCTACTGTGACCCACAGGGCTCCTGAAGGCCTCTGCTGGCCCTTGCTGGTCTCTTGAAGACTCCTTGCCCCCATGCATGTGTCTCTGAGGAGTGAGGACCCCACAACGATGCCTTTGAAAGTCTTCACCGGCGACTGTGATGGCACCACACAGACACGTCTGAGGCCCCCACACCGCCACCTGAGACACCAGTGTCTCCTGAGGCCCCACATCGGCGACTCTGAGGGTCCCACATCGGCGACTCTGAGGGTCCCACATCGGCGACTCTGAGGGTCCCACACCGGTGCCTCTGGGGCCCCACACCGGCGCCTCTGGGCCCCACACCGGTGCCTCTGGCAGCCAGCCACCGGTAACCAGGGGCGTAACCACCTAAGCGGACACTGCGGAAAGTCCGCGCCATTTTTTTACGGGCGCGGGGGGGGGGGAGAGGGGAGAGGGGCGCCGAAGGCGCCGTTCATATCTTTGCCCCGCAAGAGTTCATTTAGTTGCACCCAGTTATATTGGACATTGGGCATGATAATAAAAACGATCATGTAACATGTACGTCTCGGAGATCGACTGTGTCCGACTCTGACTGAAATAACTAAAGCTCGAAGGAGGTCACGCGCATCATGACTCAAGTGACCTCCGAGTCGGGACTCAATAATAACATAACTGTATAACAACAACATGTGTCCACGACACAACACTCTCCTCCCCTTAGACAGCTCAACTAGCGAGCCTTTTGGACACACGCTCAGACCTACGCGGTCCAGTGTCGAGCACACTGCCAGTGACGTTACTCAGGCTGATTCCGCCGGAGTCCCGCTCTACGTCACTCTCATCACGGCTGCTGTCGGCTCTTGAGGTGTCCGTTTCCGGCTCCGTCTGACACTCCCTATCGTCCCCTTCTCGCTGACTATCCTCTGTTGTCTGCGTTCCGACTTCCTGTGCAGGGTCTCCCGCCGTCATCTTCCCACCGAAGCCGCGACCGGCCGTGGGCTGCACCTCTGACGGTGACTGCGGCTGTCCCACCGGACGCTGCTCTGTCGGTCCTGGCTGTCCGGCGCTGTCCGCCGTCTCTGGTGCCGGTGCGGTCCCTGGCCTCTCTGACACGATGGCGTCGGCCGGAGCGCCCTGGCCAGCCGCTCTCATCTGGTCCACATGACGAGACCACAGAGCCTCCCCGACTTTGACCTCGTATGAGACCGGACCGGTTCCGGCCACCACCGTCCCTCGCTTCCACTTGCTGGGACCACCGTAGTGTCGCACCCACACCTCATCACCCAGCAGAAACGATCGGTTCGCTCCTCCAGCCGCCATCTCCTGTCTCTGCTGCTGGTCTCGGACTCGGCCCGCCGGATCGGGCCGTAACAGGTCCAGGCGAGTCCTGATGCTCCTCCCAAGCATCATCTCCGACGGTGACTTCCCAGTCGATGCGTGCGGAGCCACCCGGTACGCGAGCAGAAACTTCTGCAGTCTGGCCGACAGAGTACCGCCTCCTCTCAACGCCGCCTTCAGGCCGGGGCATTCCACGTCAAATCAAACACCGAAATCCGTCATCCCCTTCGATTTTTCTGAAAATTTGTAGGCAGACTGGGCATGGTTCAAAACTGAGTTACGTATAATATTTTCGAATTTTGATAACGTATCGCTGAGATATAGGTCATCGAATATAGCGAAAAATGCCACACATTAATTTTTTAAATGGCTATAACTCTGGTTCCTTTTCTGGTATCAAAATGATATTAACAGGGTCTTATAGGCAATTGATAAGGCTTTGATTTTTAATCGTAAAATTAAATTGAAGTGACCTTGAAATGCATTTGACCTTGAATTAAAACAGAAAAATTTAAATAGCAAAAAACACGTCACCTTCGATTTGGGTAATTTTCACATATTATGTCCGTCACAATGTTCCTAACCATCTGTGAAAAAATTGGAGTGGGCCATTCATAACTTTCGCGGCAAACGCCGTTTTCATTCATCAACATCACGCAACCGCGCGTGACCTTGAAAGACAGAGTCAAGACATGCTTGCTTGTGTACACTTTCTGAAATGAATGATTGCTGATTAGTGATATCCCAAACTCTGCGAGAATGGAAATGCATAGTCATCGTAGTCAAGCATTCACTTTCCATAGTAAAAGTGTCTCAGGCAAACGGTATTTTGCGGTGAATTTTGAGCCGTGTGGAAATGCATTATGAAGTAAATTCAACGAAAACATTATCACGCAACGATATCTTAAGTTCTTTTGATCTTCACTATACGAAAGAACATACATTTTTTAGTACGCATGGGGAATTTCTAGTTAATCCAATAATAGATATGGCAGTTAGAGGCCTGCTAAGAGTAACATGTCGCCGGCTGAGGTGGGCTCGGCCGATGTGGGAAACGCAGCAATCACAATTTTGTGTTTACACGTTCATATTTCAATTGTTTACCAATCGATTTTCAAAATTCTTTCACCATAAGATTGCCTGTACATTTCTTAGTCTTCTCACAAAATTTGACGCGAATCGAACGTAATCAGCGGTAGGGAGCGCGATGTAAAGACGGAACCGTTCCGTTCCGTCCCGGCACAGTCTACAATTCAGGCGGCGCGTAGCGGTCGGCGCCGGCTGCCGAGTCGGGTGAGTATTGAAGCATCCAAGAGCGCAGCATCCAAGGGACGCAACATCCAAAACCTTAGCATCCAGCGATCAAAACGTCCAAATAACATCCAAAACCGACCCCTTAGGGATGATTCAGAGCATCCAAGGGCGAAACATCCAAAACTGCAACATCCAGGACCACAGCATCCAAAATCGTATCATCCAAATTGGCAGCAACCAAGGACGAGGAATTGCAGCATCCAAGAGTGAAACATCCAAGGGTGCAGCATCCAAAACCGTATCATCCAAAAAACATTTTTGGCACCGCAGCATCCAAGACAGTATCATCCAAAATAGTGACATCTGTTGTACAAGCTGTAAACTATTAGTTCAATGGCTGTCCGATAGGTGGTGGCACGTACGGTTCATAAGTGACGGAATTGTATGACATCACTGAGTCTCTATACAGTGGCATCCCTATAATGACCTTACATCCTCAAGACGGAGGTGCGTAGCTGCTGGTAGCGACATCGCTGCGATACCACTACAAACCTGACATATGACATGAAGACGCATTGCAGCGTATCCAAGCGCGGCACGTATGTAGGTAGGCTGAGCCGCTGAAGTGTCGATAATGGAGACCGGTACCGAAAGTGGGTTTATTAATTGCCCTTTGTTAGAAGTGCCTAATAAGTCGTGAACTGTCCACTATCCCCGTAACCAAGCCTCCGCAAGGATCTTCATCTCACCGTCAGATCGCGCTTATCATCGTCAGCTCCTCCCGTTCCTTCACAGTTAACCTTTTTCCTGTCCTATGTGATATATTCCATGTTCCAGAGGGCAAAAAATATAAAAATAGCCGTTTATACCAGGGGTGCGGAGCCGGAGCCGGAGCAGCCGGAGCCGGCATATTTTGCCCAGAGCCGGAGCCGGAGCCGTAAAACAATATAGCCCGGAGCCGGAACCGGAGCCGGAGCCGTCAAAAAAGGGGGTGACTCCGGCTCTTTTTTTAAGAAGAAAAAATTATTGACCTAGTTCGGTTTGACAGTACAAGGCCATGTAGTATTCACTATTCAAATTAGCCTTGTTATGCAAATACAGAGGCAGCGTGTACCAATCCAATTTCAATCGCCCTTTCTCTTCCACCCGTAGGTATTTAATTAATCGCATAGAGGATGTACAGTCCACAGCAGAAGTAATGTGGGGTTTCAGTCATGGGTATGTTCTGCTTCTGAAGCTTAGGAACGATTAGCCAGACTACAATGAAACTTTGAATGTAGCTTATGTGTATCGTCACCCTTGCAGCTGCAACTTTAGCTATTGACATCTTCTTTTCGATCACTCCGCATTAAACAATCGCCAGTCAAAGCCAACCGTTGAGATTGGTAAAACTTAGATTAGATTACTTTAGCGGTGGGCTGTACCTACTGAGAAGGAGCCGGAGCCGGACCATTTTACTCGGAGCCGGAGC